CATGAAGCCTCTTTAAACAAGCGAAGTGAAATAATATCCAATTGTAGACATCGGCGAAAATATATTCTCAGGTATTCTTAACGCTATTATCGGCGCGCGCACGGTTTTCAAGATTTGAATTTTTTAAACAATGCCATGTGATCACGTTGCTGAGTTAGAGTTAACCGTCACGATGCCTCAGTGTGTATGGAGTTTAACTGATGAGTGGATCAACTTTTGTTGGTCTACGAAACAGGCTGTATTAAAATCCATATGTGCGTCACTTGAGTAGTCCATTTGCTACTGTAATCGCTCCTTCATTGTCGAGCACTGTCCTAGATCCTACGTTGCCTATTTCGCTTATATATATATATATATATATATATATATATATAACTAACTGCATATATATATATATATATATATAATATATATATATATCTATTAATTTTATTGTTTTTTATTTTTAAAAGACAATTATAAACCTCAACGTTCCGCTCTTTTCAATGACAATGATGGCTCACATATTTTATTACATATTAAGCAATGAACCCAGAAAATTTATCCTGGCTCTTGACGTGTGGTTTCGTATCTTGGTTGATGGAAGCGCCCAATCTGCAGATCTTCCTTCGAAACTACGTTTGCTTTTTTTTTCCTTGTTGTCTTAATTTGTTTTGGTTTTATTTCGTTTTGTTTTGAATGACGTAAATTTGATTGTCAAATGTAGCATTTCAAAACATTTTTACACTGCTCACAGTTTTAATGTCTTGGTGGCTCCCAGGTTTTTCGTTTACCAATAATGCGAATTACCCTTATCAGCCCGAAAGTAATATTCGTGTTCGTTTACGACAGTTATTTACTCTCGCAGTTTTTATATTCTGTTAAAATATGTAAATTTATACATTTATTAATGAAAAAAAGCCCAGATTAAGAAAATGGAGCTGGCGGGATATGACTTGACTCTTGCTGCTTGGGGTCAGGCATGCAAGACCTATCTTCACAAAATTCGTATTCTTCAGAAAAGAGCTATTCGTCTGCTGTACTTCGCAGACTGGCATGACCGTGCGATTCCTTTATTTCTTAAAGCAAACGTACTTACGATAACTTTTCTTTATTACAAGTACGTATCAACCCTAATGCACGATATCAATAATGATAAAGCCCCAGCAAACCATACTAAATCTATTTCAGAAAACGTCTAATATTCATTCATACAATACACGATCGTCTACGTCTGGAAATTTCTATGTTAAAAGTTCGAGACGAGAAATACAAAACAATTCCTTCTCTGGGATCGGAGTAAAGCTGTGGAATATGATACCAAGCTGTATAACGGATCTCCTTAAGAAAGCTTTCAAAAAAAGTCCTTCGCAAATTGCTATTTGATATCTTAGAAAAAGAAAATACCTATATTCAAATCTCTATGATCATTAAAAAAGTAGGTACATAGATACACCTTCTAAGTTTAAATGTCTTCTTATCTTTTTCTGTGTGACTTTGTGACTGTGTGACTGTGTAAATAACTACTCCTTGTCCAAGACGATTTATGTTATTCAGGTACTTCTCTTGCCCCGCCACGATTAGCTTTCTAGCTGTTTGCGGGGCGAACTATCCCGCTGTTATTTTACGTAAAAAGTTCAAAGAATAAAAATTGTTGTTTTTGTTGTAGAAGAACCAGAGGAATTCAGGGATGTGGAGAGAATTAAATACTAAATAGTAAAATAACTAAATACCAATGTATTGATTGTTACTTATCTTTACATTCCAGGTGTTTATAGACTCCGCAATTGAGGTGTTAAGAACATGGGGTTTTGATGGTCTCGATCTCGACTGGGAATATCCTGGAAGAACAGATCGGGGAGGTTCAGTGCCTGAAGATAAGCAAAGGTTTACATTACTCTGCCAAGAGTTATTGGATGCATTCAAAACTGAAGCAGCTGGAACGGGAAAACCTCGCCTCTTACTAACAGCTGCCGTTTCAGCTGGCTTTGAAACCATCGACGTTGCTTATGAAGTGAAAAAACTAGGCCCACTGCTGGACATCCTCAACCTCATGACCTATGATCTACACGGGAACTGGGACAAAGTAACAGGACATCATACAGCAATGGAAGGGGATGACAAACTGACCGTGCCATACGCTGTTCAATACTGGATTGACAAAGGATTTCCAGCCAATAAGATCGCTCTTGGCCTTGCCACGTATGGAAGAGCATTCTCCCTTAAAGACCCGAGCAACAATGGCCTTGGTGCTCCTAAACATGAGTGGCAGAATCCCCACAAAGGTCAATATACCCGTGAAGCTGGCTTTCTTGCTTATTACGAGATCTGTAGGCTTGGCCTGACCGTGGTCCATAATAATTCCGTCATGGCCCCATATGGACATAAAGGCAACATCTGGGTGGGTTTTGACGACAAGAACAGTTTGCTGTACAAGGTGGATGAGCTGATCAAGAAAAAGGGTCTGATGGGAGCGATGTTTTGGGCTCTCGACTTAGACGATTTCAGTGGCTCCCAGTGTGGGGAGGGCCAATATCCTTTGATGAACGCCGTGAAGCAGTACTTGGGTGGCTATACACCACCACCACGGCCCACCGAGCTAACCCCACCTCCTCAAACTCGACCTCCTCGACCTCCAGTGCCAACCGATGGACCAGGACCTGCTACGCAAATGCCGCCAACCGAAAAGCCAAAACCCCCTTCTGGAGGTTGTGTCGCCATTCCACCTTATGACCAACAACCAGGAATGAATGGATGGTGCGCGTCTAACTGTGCTGTCGGAAATTGTCCTTCGTCACACTGTAAGTGCGGTTAAACTAGGACTACGATTGCATAAAGAAATGCAAAATGTAATAGATTAGAAAATAGAATGAATAAAAACTGCATTGCACGAATAGATGCGTCTCCTCTTATCATTTCAAAAATGGAAAGTCGAAATACAGGCCGGCTGATCTCGATTGTTGGTGACCAATTGTGGAAGTTTGGGTAGAACTATAAGAAATCAAGTGTCTCCGTCTATCCAACACTGGGATTTTTCTCTTTCCTTTCTATACCAGTCCGTGTTTAATCAACCTATTTAGAAAATTTGAGATCTTCATCGGGAATAACGAGGCTCAATGCTAAAACGTCAGCTTTAGAAACTATTCACGCTGGCCAGCTCAATTGATACAACCAAATCATCCTGTTATACTCACCGCTGACGCAGCAACACAGCATCTTCAGTAACTTACCCAATTTATTCATTGTTTCAAAACGTTTGGCCACAGTGACTTTAATGGACTTGAAGACAATCCTATCACACCGTAGAAATATAACCTTCGTTGGTTGACCAACGTTCTCTTACAGAAATCTTATGTCGATAACTCTCATAATGAGAACTGCGCAGGGAGAATTTCAGATGTCCGATTCAAACGATAAGATAAAATTTATCACCTCTACAGTGCTATCATTATAGACTTCTTCACTTACGTCGGTTTATTATTTTAAAGTGTCCAGGATTCACGTTGTCGATGGCATCGAACGCCTGAAGTAGCTATCTTGTAAAATGTTTGTCATTTTAAGAGTCACTGACCATAAATATCGAGAATCCTCCGTTAAAAAGAAACACTTATAGGAAAAGATCGGAGAGAAAATTGTTTTCATATTGGATTTTAATTACCTCACATCATTCTAACACCGTGAGATTGTCGCATTTACAACGAAGCGCTTTTCTTCTTGTCGCTAATTATAGGAAACGATAGCGATTTGACATCTACAAATGTCAAACTTAGAGAAATCAGTGCGCAAGCTCACGACGTGAGCTAGCCTCTTTAGGTGGACGCAGAGAGAATTCCAAATTTTCTCCTTGCATCTTTAGTATAAAGCTGAGCCACACGATTAATCGAGCCCATCGAACACGAAAGAACCACAATATTCTGATTGTTTCGTCATTTCTTTCTTTTTATCGTTTCGTATTGTACGTATTGCATTTAAGCATGAAGCAAATAAAGCGACTTTTTATATTCTTTTCACAAGGGATATTTTAAAAGAACAAGGACTATTCAATGTAACAATACCTTTGAATCTCTGATTTGTTAGTACAGGTGTTTACTTCGAGGCAAACGGCTTCTTTCCTTGTTCGCGTTGTTCCTACAACGAAAAATTCTTGCTTTAGTTACGGACTTCCATTGACCGCAAGGTTACAATTTTTTTCACTTTCATGAAAATGTGCATCTCTAACCCCAAAGCTGAAGTTGAGTTTTATTTTCTGACGACGTGAGTTAAAGAAATTTCTCCGGTTAGCGTACTTGGCTGTTATTACAAGTCAGTCGCTAAGTTCACTGGAAATAATTCAGAATCCCTCACAAGGGACATCTAGTTAATGAATATGCTCAGTTATGGCGGACAGCTTCTTCATACCTAACCAGGCAAACAGTATGAATTGACTCGTTCATTTCAATACTACTAGCTATGAAAATCGAAACAAGTCCAACGACGCTTTCCTTTTTGTGAAGTTATAAAGCCTTAAATCTGTAAGGTAGATTTCTACAGCGCTGACAAGATAATTTGATGCCAAAAGTACGCGAATCATGTCAGTGTCAAGCCTATACAGAGTCAACGAAAATTGCTGTAAAATTCAAAAAATAGTTTATATATTTTTTCTTTAATTCCAAGTCATATAGTGGTTACACCTACGCTTCTTTCCGAGCAAGTTCTCTATACTTAGCCTGCGATTTCATTGATCTTTAGTTCACCTTATCACTAGAAATGAGATTTTTTCTTTTCTTTGTTGAACACGCTCAGTCTACCGTTTACTCTGTTTTCGATTTTAGAGCTCAATCATGTCATTCCGTTTTGTCTCGGCGCAATCACTTGCATGTCACCAGATCTATCTGAAATCGAAGACTGATTCAAATCTTCTACTTTTTATGGCCTTCCGCTCTCCTTCAGGGAAGGATTTCTATGCATCTTGTCTTTATTCAAAGCCTTTGCTGGGCAAGCTGATACATTCCTTAAATCACAAATATGAGTATATACTTAAAATATCCTCAAACGGGACAGCAATTTTAGCCTAAAAACTCTTTCAAAAAGGGGTCATATAAGAATACACATCGAGTTAAGTTAAATTCAGTGGTATAAAGAGAAATAAAGCTTCTCAAACAAGATCTGAAAAGAACACTTTGTCAAGGACAAACGGTGTAATACAATCGGCCTCGCACGGGCATTGTGTTTAAACAGCTTTAATACCCTACACAAAGAACTGTGTTATGGTGCAGTTTGCCTTTCAGGTTACGGCGAGTATCGCACGCTAAGTAATCATCCAATTTCACCATCATCCAAGGCTTGCACTGCTGTTAACACGTTTCATTCATGTTGACCAAATATCTGGCCTTCAGTTATCACTGATTGGCCTTGGAAAGTAAAGAAACTTCAAGCTACGTACACGAGAGGCTTACTCAGCTGTTTAGGAACTCAAAAGCTAGCTACCTATAAAGTAGGGGACCAGGTTAATTTTTTTTTACATTACAAGGGTATTTGTACTAAGAGTCATGAAATATTTCGTTCCTTTTCTGCTTGTGGTAATTGCCTAATACACTAGTGCTAATAACTATGTTCGAATGTGTTATCACACAAACTGGTCTCAATACCGTCCAGGTATTGGAAAGTTCTTTCTCGAAAACATTGATCCTAATTTGTGCACCCATTTAATGTATGCTTTTGCAGAGATCGATCGCAGCACCAACAAACTGGCCATGTACGAGTGGAATTATGACCAGTTATACCCCAGGCTCAAAGCCTTAAAGAAGAAAAACCCTGAGTTACGAACGTTGCTAGCAGTGGGGGGATGGAACCATGAGAACGTTGACAGTCCATTTTCAAAAATGGTCAAAATTCAGGCTACTAGAAAGTTATCAAAAGTTAATATAATTCTCCTAGACTATGTGTGCCCTTGCATTTCATCCAACCTTTACTATTTATAAAAACGTTTATGATAAAAATTTGCGAATGATTTAATGATAATCTTCAAGCGAAAACTCATTCAAGGTCGTTTATTGACGTCACTTGATCGTGAATGTATAAACTTTTCCCTCTACTTTAAAAGAAAGCATTCATGATAATGATGTGAGTTTGAAAAAAAATGTACGTGAAAATAAATGAAAAACGTTTTTGATTAAATTCGTTAGCGTTTATCACTGGATATGAATGTTTTGGGGATTCGTTGACGCAAAGTGAGAAAGTGAAAAAGTTTGAAAGTGTGAAAACTCCAAGCAGATTACATGTCATTTCTTGTTGTGCTTAACAAAAATTTGCATTAAACAAAGCAATTTGTTTTTCACATTGACAATAACAGAAGACAATCTGATTCGATCAAGCCGGGCTCAGTTCGAGTTTGACGATTTCTAAAAGTTAGACGCGTTTCTTCCATAATACAACGATAATTATTAGAAGAAAAAAAATAGCTTCCTAACAGAATTTATAACTTTTTGGTGGTACTTCAGACTTCGAACGTGGGGTTTTGATGGTCTTGACCTGGATTGGGAATATCCTGCCTCTCGTGGCGGTTCACCGTCTGAAGATAAACAGAGATTTACCTTCCTCGGTCAGGAGCTATAAGAAGCATTCAAAGCTGAAGCAGTCAAAACGGGAAAACCTAGCCTTTTGCTGACTGCTGCCGTCGCAGCTGGCTATAAAACCATCGATAAAGCTTATGAAGTAGCGAAACTTGGCCCTCTCCTGGACGTCCTCAATCTCATGACCTACGATCTACACGGGAACTGGGACTCGGTAACAGGACACCATACAGTCATAGCCGGGAATGACAAAATGATTGCTCCGTTTTCCGTCCAGTACTGGATTGACAAAGGATTTCCGGCAAAGAAGATCGCTCTTGGAATTACCCCTTTTGGAAGAGTATTTGCACTGAAAGACCCAAATAATAATGGCTTGGCGCTCAAAAGCATGCTTGGCAGAATCCCCACCAAGGTCCATACTCCCCGTGAAGCTGGTTTTCTGGCTTACTACGAAATCTGTTCGCCTGGTTTGAAAATCGTCAGTGATAATACTGTATGGCTACAAATTACAATATGGGTAGGTTTCGACCACAGGGACAGCCTGTACTACAAGGTAGAAGAGCTGATCAAGAAAAAGGGTCTAAAAGGAGCAATGTTTTGGGGTCTCGACTTAGACAATTTCAGTGGCGCCCAACGTGGGGAAGGCGCATATCCTTTGTTTAACGCTGTTAAGAGTTACTTAGGTGGCGACATACCTCCTCCTCGTCCCACTGTTGTAACACTGACAGTGGTTCGAATCCCGTACAGGCCTGAATTTTTTTCAGGTTTGATTTTCACTATTGCTTAAATAGGGCTTTACTGCGAAGGATCGTGCACATATACGTCAAGTCACTCTGTAACTATTTGTAGACGACCAAGCATTTGACAGGTCACCGGTTGTACTGTAATGAGAACACGATAGCTTCCTTGCAGGCCTCCTTTTCCGTTGCTGTTTCGAACTCACATTAACTTCCTCTGTTCCATGCTCACCCCTTTGTAGCACTGTTTGTGGTCACATTAATTCTCTGGGGGTTAAATGAAATACAGAAGAGGGATAGCCGGACACAAGCCTTAAAAACACTTGAGGTTTTAACGTAATCTGTTATCTTGGGTCTTGTCTCACCAGAACACCTCCCACTGTGGATGATTCCATCTTAAATAAGAGAAAAATCCAAGGTATTCCATGCTATCTTCATAAATAAGCATGCACACATTTTTTCTTTTTCTATAAACATTTATTCCTGGTAAAATTAAGGAAAAGATTAGAATGGATTGAAAAACAGGTAGATAAACAAATGAATAAACAGATAAGGAATCTTAAAACATACAAGCTGGAACACGAACTATATCAAAATATCATCAAGCTTGAGTTACCATTTTCGTAGCATCGACACAATACAGGTTTGTTCAATTTTCTTCAGATGTTGAAATGGAACGGGCAATAACAGAACTCCAAGATGAACTTGCACCATAAGTATATGATTAGAACGAGATCATTTCAATCGGATCATAAGTTATTAAGACGGTATTAATGACTCGCTCCCGCCACATCCATCGTCACATGACAGTGATTAGCAGTATCATATTGCGATTGGACAGTACATGACAAGTTATACCTCTCGCGCTCCATTATTGTCTCCATCCTTCCAATGTTGCCATAATCTACATACGTAGAAGTATTTCCTGCCCAACAGGTCCCGTAAGAACCATGAAAGATACATATTCACTGAGTGCCCTAACGCTGAGCTTTTCGCCAGGAAGGTGGGGTGTTTTTACGATGCATTATACCTCGCTTTAATGCATTTATAGAACGTTTTCGTATCTAACGTTAGTCATTAACATTTCGAGTTATATAAACTTTTCCTGCAGGCTTTCCTCCGCAATCATTGTACTGTTTGTGTTGTCAAATGGAATATTCGTGTTCACGGTGAGTAACTCTTTTTGACATTTTTTTTTTTCATGATACCTGCAGAATATTACGGCAAAAATTCTGAATTCTCAGGAACCTGAAGCAAAAATAAAAAAAAAAGTCTTGAGACCGTATCAACGATTGCATTTATTTTCAGAAAATATTTTAAAGACCGGACTAAATAATCTTTGTCATGTTTACACAGCAAGCTTTAATAGAAGAAAAATAAGCTTACTTGGATTAATAGGTAACTGTGGGACTAATTTAAAAATACTACAAATGCCTGATATTCCGGTAGACGGGATACTACACGATGAGATGAAATGTTATCAGAGCTTGTTTTACCAAACAAGTGGTTTGTATCACCTTTTGCCTAAATCAAAATTATGACAAGTAACTCATCGACATAACTTATTAATAATAATTTGTCGGTATATCTTCGAGCTGAATTAGTTAAGTATATAGTCATTCATTGTTGACATGATATTATCGTTAATATCAGCATATTATAACGGGCGAGGGGCCCTGAAAAGTGACACGAGTTAAAAAGGTCGTGAAGGGGGGATGCTTTACAATACTATGTAAATAGAAAGAGGTGTTCAAATCCCAAAATTTTCAGTTGCATATTTTCCCAAAACGAATAAAGCTTTGAGAATTTTGCTATATACGATCTCTCTCCAACTAGCTTGAATGCTCGCTTTAAAATGTGCACATTTTGCTCTGGTGGGGGTAGTTTTGAAAACTAGTTTCTGGATGTTGGTCTTTTTTATGCTGATTGTGAGGCCAAACTGTGAACAGGCATGGGCAAAGCAGTTGATGAGCTCCTGGAGGGCAGTTTCGGTGTGAGCTGTGATGGCGGCATCATCAGCGAAGAGCATCTCCCGGATGAGGACTTTGCGCACCTTTGTCTTGGCTCGGAGGCGTGCCAGGTTGAACAGGCTACCGTCGCTCCCCCCCCCCCATTCATTTCGCCTACAGGTAGCAATATTCGCGTGACCTTGGGTTGTCTGCCGGCGAGTCCCCTGCGGTTTCACCACTCTATCGCAAGTCAAGCATTCCACATTCTTCTTGTTTCTATAATAAGAAGCCAAGCAACCTCATAACGTAACTTTGGCGCTTCTGAATTTGCTCTTGGGTTTTATTTGATCTTGATCTTGTGACATCTTTTTGCCAGTTGATGAACACACAACACTATTTACACAAGTGCGCGACTCTGGCTTTCATGGTCGGTTTAATTCAAAACAAATTTATTGTTCACATCACTTGCCGTAAAATTATCCGGATATCTGCTGGGGCAGAGGATGTAATTAGATCACAGGTCTCAAACTGCAGATTTCCACCTACTGTATGTATGGGTTTTGCCAAAGACAGAGGCTTACAATCGACCCTAAGCTTGGATCATGAGAGGAATCGCATCATCTCTATCGTTGTGACAAAAAAGATCACTCTGCACGAAAATCTCGCGAGACATGACTAAAAACCCTGTCACGGAAAGTTATCAAAAGAAGAGCTTCTTTCAATGTGGTGTAACGGCAAGCAGAGGAATGTGCGTTTGTCATTGCCCTTGAAAAATAGGCCTCGAATACCTCTCAAAATAGGGATCGTTCGCAGTTAGCGATGAATTGAAACGAAACACTTTGCTGTCTGATACACGTCGGGGAATTTCCTCATCTACAGTCATAATAATAGCATCGATGTCATTTATAGAGTAAACAGAGACGAGGATTTAAGAAGTAGCAAAATGTGTCCCGCCCACATCCCTTAAGAATGTCCAGCCAGTTTAGCCAAGTGTTCCCTTTCAAGTTTTTTGTATGTCCCAAAAACAAATCAGTAACTTCTCCTTATTTATATCTATTCTCAACTTCCACTGACGAGCAACACATGTTTACGGTGAATAAAACAGTAACCAATTAACAGCCACGCTAGTCATCTGAAACACGCGATAATGCCGCTCACTAAATCCCACTTAACTGTCAACACCCTAAGCAGAAATCACACAAAAAGGAAAGACGGCTTGGGTTAAAAAAGCATTGGAGACCAGATTTACGCTATGTTTGTTTTTGTTTGTAACAAAATTTAAATTTTAGAGCACCTGAAGTAAACCTTTTACTGACAGGAATTGGCTCTGTCAAGTGTGCTATTTTCTTAGTCTTAATAATGGGGGATTTTGTATTTTAAGACATTTTTAAAAGCAGCCAACGAAAGGGCAAAACATGGCCTGTTCTGTGGAATATGACCATAAGTGGAAGGAGGAGGTTTACACAGGTCTACCTTGTCCCCTCCGGGTGCTCCCTAGGAAAAAGGGGGGCGCTCAGTGCTATTGTGGTTTAAGCAACAGTCTTACCCAAAGCTGGAAGACCCAGAGGTAGATTACATGTAATCAAAATTAAACACGTTGTTTTCAAAAACATTTCTTTTGCTTAAAATGTTCAGCGGGCTAATGTGAAGAACCGTCCGCGTAATGCTGACAGTCGGGAATTTCAAAATACGGCAGACGGCGAGGAATTTTATGAACCATTTTATGAATGGTCTGTGTGGAGTCCGTGTTCTCGCACCTGTGGAGTTGGTGTAAAGTTTCGAGGACAGCTATGCCTTAGGTTTGAAAATACCTTGATATATATTTGTATTCGTGTTTTGTTGTACGAGGCTGCAGCGATTCACTGCTTTGATTGTGAAAAACGTTCTCTTTTTTTTCTCCAAATTAATCCAAACATTTTATGATATTCTCGACATGACAGTATCAATTCACACGAGCGCGTTAGCACGTTTTTTTTTCTTTATGGTATGAAAATTTTTTTACCACGTTTTGTTATTAACAGGGAGAACAAGGCTTTGTGTCAAAAGAAATCCAGAACTTATCAAACGTGTAACACCCAGGTAACTAACCAAAATCCTCTATGCATGAATATAGCTATGATCCATAAATGGTAAGTCGTAAATAAAAAATGTTCTGGCAAAAAGACCGATAGACCGAAAGACCAATAGATCTTGCGACAGACAGACAGATATCGAAGTGACTCATGTGCAACAAACAAGGACAGAAAAATACATAAACATGATAAAAGGAGACTTCAGATTCCAGCCTAACATGCGGATGTAAAGACAAAACGCATTATTCATCTTACAGGCTTGTCCCAAAGAAAGCGAGAATTTCCGTGACGAGCAGTGTGCAACGTACAACGGACGAGATATATTCATCAATGGCGAAAGAGCTAAATGGAAGTCATATAATCGAGGTACTTCAATTCTAATGAATCGAATAAGCAATGAATCTTTTAAACTTAGTACTTTTTATGAAGTCTATATAGTATGTAGAATACTGATTTAGACTACATGTTACTATTTTTTTTTTTTGCATACCGAGGATGTCTTAAAGCAGGACATACCATAAGTTACCTTTTCCAACATTATTTTATTCGCATACTTCTAGGTGGCAACCAATGTTTATTATTTTGCTATCCTGATGGAGAAGAATTATTTTATTACTTTGGAAAAACCAGAGATGGGACCCAGTGTTCCAAAGAACCTTACGGTGTTTGTGTACGTGGACAATGCAAAGTAAGTGTGAGACTGTAATACTCGCATCTGATGCAAAGTAAGAACTCTGGCATCTTCATTGCCTTATCTATGGCCGAATTGCTGAAATGAAAGTAAACGAAAAATGACAAAATTTGGTGCAGGTATGGGTGTCAGTCGTTTTTGTTCCTGTTTGGTTGTCGTCTTTATCATTTGTTACATTAATTTATATACCTCAAAACGCCTCCCACTTTTAATCGCAGTGAATGTCACTTTAGACAGTATCATTAATCCATTTCAGTCCGTTGGATGTGACTATAAACTCGAGTCAGGAGTGTATATGGACAAATGTCGAGTTTGTGGTGGAAATTCTACCACATGTCAGCCAATGAGGGGAAGAATTGAAAGGTCTCCAACAGTTTTTGAACGACTGTCAGGTAACTTGCGAGGATTCGTTGTGATGTTGTGATGTTCCAAAATCATGCTTAACTCATAAATTAATCATTTAACAACTTCAGTTTATCATTTTGGTTCACACACAATGGCAGCTCCTCAGCGAGGCTAAATAATTTTCTTACCTATTTATTTTGGGAGAGGTTGGGGTCTGGGTAGAAGCATTAACACCTGTACATAAAAATAAAATCCAGGAGAGTAACTTTTTCATACCGAGGGAATTGAAATCACATGAGCCTTAGGATCCTCACAGGTACAAATTATACTGCTGATTTTATGAACACAGAGGATAAAATGAAATATTACAAAATCGTATTGCTTTATCCTGAAACGAGTTTCTCAAAATGATCTGTGATTGAAATTCAACAGGCTACGCCGATTTGCTGGTGATACCTAAAGGAGCAACGAGTATTGTAATTACAGATAATACCTGGAACTATTTAGGTAAATCGATTACACTTAGTAAAGAATTCATTATCTGCCGGAATGATTGACTGAATAAGTGCGACTGACTGATTCTCATTAACTCAATGAGTCTGACTCCGACTTATTGAATGACTCCCTGACAGATTCACTCTCTTACTGGCATGTTAACTCGTTGCCAGGTAATCAACCTCATAACTGACTGACTGACTTATCAACTGATTGACTTTCCTGGAATTCTCCAGCTGCTGGAGTCAGCATCCAAGGGAAGATCACAGAGTCGATTCATAACTATCTTTAATGAACAGTCACAGGTTGCACAAGGTCTTCGCACAATCAATTCGCACAATCACGGTAAAAAACTTTTAGAAAATCACATTGCCACGGGTTGACAACTAATTTGGGCGGGTACTTTCCGGTTAATCCGCATATTTTCGTAGTCAACGATTACGTAGTAGCCTAATGTATGCCCCAGTCCCCGACAAGCTTGGAAAACTTGAACTTAGATGCAGCTAGCTGGCTAAACTTGATAATCTCTTTCCTTTTTTTTTCTGCACCGTTGTATATTATCAACCACATTTTGGTTGTTGTTGTGGACAACCTCAGCTCTTAAAAGACAAAATGGTGAATATGTCATCAATGGCAATAGAATTGTCAACTGGTCTGGTATTTTCAAAGTTGGCGATGTCGAATTGCAGTACAATAGAATCTCAAACAACATCAAAGAGACAATTGAGATAACTGGGCCAACAGCAGAAGACGTCACTATAATGGTGAGAATCAATTAATCTTTGCTTTCCTCAGGTTAGCACATTCGATCGAAATTTCACACTGTAACTAATTTGTTTTACTCAAGCTACCTGCTAGATATTTACCCTAAATTTAGAGATCCCTTACACTTCCTATTTAGAAGATCGAGAGAGATCTGCTAACATGTTATTTCGGATTGCTCAAAATCAAAGAAATATCAGGCATTTAAAATGGCAATGCTATGGCAAAGCAAGGTATTTACGCAACAAATTAAAGCAACTATTTAGAATGTTTCATTTTTGACAAAAAACTTTGAATTATGATCACGTTTTATCTTTTTGTACTTCCTACATGAGGCTTGTTATAACTTCCCTTTTCAATGAAATGCTTAGCCATGATTTTCAGTATTTTCTCATTAGCTGGACTTTGCAAAAGTTGTAACGAGCAACCTATCTTTGCAAATCCACAGTCTCTATTAATGGCGGGTAAGGTCAAGATGAGCTTTGAGTACTGGAAAGCGGATGGAGTTTACGCCGCAGGAGGTATGTGTTACTACATCATTTGTAGCTCATAAATAAAGGATACGACAACCATGTCACCTTTGTTCCATTCACAAAACGCCAGATCGTCATCTTGTCTTGACCACTACCTTAATTGCTTAATGTGACAACTGCAGTATGTTTAAATGCTCCCTGAGCTTCTAGTAATGTTATAAGCGTTCTTCTGCTCGCAGCTACAGGGTTTAAAGGCAATATATTTTCTTTAGTATTTCCTAGGCTGATACACCCGTTAATTATGCTCATTTCAGATACACTGCAAGCTGAAAAACAAGACCACCTAGTCTTACAAATGGGCTGGGGACGCTGGACGACCTGTTCCGCTTCCTGCGGGGGAGGAATCAAAGTACGTTCACGATACCGCGCTATAGAGGCCGTTGCATCATTCCGTAACAAGGAGACTGACGTCCAAAGATGTAACACCGAACCGTGTCATATGATGAAAGCCGCGTGGTCGGAGTGGGGTACTTGGGGTGACTGCAGTGTCACTTGTGGAGGAGGAGCCAGGATGAGGTTTCGTTACTGTAAGAAGTCCAGTGCCATTTCTAGATCCAGATGCCCTGGAAGACGGTATGCTGTGGAACAATGCAACGTAAAGGAATGTCCTAACAAAGGTGGGTTCTGGATTCCATTTAACATAAAAATAAGAGAACATACTTTCTTGTTCAAGAGGACAATCTTCGCATTTCCGATTTGGTTTTACTCTTTATGTTTTCCTTTTCATTCTCTAAGTATCAACAAAATTAGAACAAAAGCTATCTACCTCATCAAAGTCTTGCTGAGAATAGTTTGCGCTTTGTTCAAACAACAACAATAACACTGTGAAAGTCATATGTGTGAATTGCAGGTTAAAAGAATTAACTTCAAAGCGATCCTCACAGTAGTGAACACTACTTGAGCCGGCCTTATTTTCACTACTGCTCAAGTAGGTTCACCACTGCGAAGATCGCTTTGATATTCAACAATAACGCTGTCTTCCCGAGCATAAAGAAACAATGAAAATAGGAGTCAGACGACAGTATATGTTCAACTTCAAAAAAAATACGGCACCCAATTAATCAATATCTGTTGCCTAAGTTTCAAATTTAAATACTTCCATTTGTATAATTATCTTCTTTTTCCGAACAGAAACGATGTCAGCTACGTCAACAATGCGAAAACACACTTCATTGTTAATAGTTACCTCATCCTCGACTCCTCAGTCGGGGAAGTCTGGAGAAGAAGGGAAGAGAATAACAGAGCCGCTAAGAATACCAAAAACCTCTAAATTAAGATCAGCCTCTAAATATCACGAACGTCATGAAACGTCCACAAAGAAATTATCACAGGATAGCACGCAGACTGCATTTTCCAGAGGAGAGCGGTGGAATTCTCTTTCATCTAGTATAAATACATCATTTGAAACTTCAAAATCGAGGCTTCTTTTGTCTTCAATAAAGCAGACCACGAAGGCTTACACCATTGCACTTTCCACAAGAAGTCTGAAGGAGGTTTCTAGCTTGTCCAGTAAATTCTTGGGTCTGGAAACTACATCATTCGATCACAAACAAACATTGTCCGTGTCGTTGGCGAAAGAGAAACCAGGCTTGCCTGCTTCGCCTGTAAGAAAGGGTACAGTAAAGCCTACCGAAATTCGTTCGTTCAGTTCCTCAATGCTAGTATCTGATGTTGGAGCGGGCTTCAGTGTTTTTTCTACAAGTACCTCAGTTCCAGAAAGATATGGGATTGTTAGGCCGTCTGTGGGTTTATTGGACACTGCCAAGGCGTCTAATTTGCGTACGACTTCCATAGGGTTGAAAGTCTCACTACACTCTGGTGTTACACCTCGTCCGAGCGAAGTTAATAATCACACTACTTCTTTCGGATTTGGAACAATATCAAGTAAAATTGACAGGAAGTCCGTTTTAGCGTCATTCAGTAAAGAAACTGCTGACCAATCGGTAACGATGGATAGGAGGCAAGAGGTGGTACCCAGCTCAAAATTGAGTATATTTGAAAGGACGTTATCACACCAGTATTCTGTTGATTTAAAGGAACGTAAAACCCAGGACAGGAAACACCAGTCAGTAACCTTATCACAGGCAAGTGATATCCGCAATGAGATATCTGTGCTAGTAACTACACAATTGAAGCGAATTCCGTCAAGTTCCAGGGAGACCTTAAACTCATCTACCACAGACATAACAAGGATTGACCTGCGTCTAAAGAATTTTAGTGAAGCCGCTTTGCAAAGTCATAGGAAGAAAATTCTCTCAACAAAGGATTTCAGTACCAGCCACTATTCCCCGCCTGTTGAGTTAACAGAAACACTCAGATCTGGTTCTTCATCAATTACGAATGTTTTACTTATTAAGCCAACACGCTCTAATCCAATGAGCAAAACAAACGAACTTAAATTATCAGTAAACACTACTTTGAGACAAAGCTTGGAAATAAGACCAGAATCTACATCAGTTTCCTCGGCTTTCCATCTGTTGCATCTCCCATGGCAAACCCTAACTGACTTTCTCTTTTCACGTCGATCATCGAAACCGATTCTTCAGACGTCAAAGCTTATGTCAACTCAAATAACTGTTTCAAAAAAGGTGGACGCATCTTACAACATCTCGAAACCTCGTTTTCTCCCTTTTACAAGCTCCTTCGTTGGCTTTAGAATCTCGTCTCAACAGTTTACAATGACGGCAGAGTTAAAACCACAAATGCAGTCATCATTTTCTATTGAAAAGGACATAGGCTATAAGTTTTCGTTTTCCGGTAACTATAAACCTCCGATCGTCAATACAAAGGATTATGCTGATTTTACCTCCTCCTCATCATCTTCATCATCATCATCATCATCTTCATCATCATTATCACCATCATCACTGTCATATTTGAAGTTAAGTCCCCCACAAAAAAGAAATCCAATGACCGATTCACCTTCAGAGAAAGGTTATCTTTCAAAAACAATAATAGCGAAACCGGAACATTTAGCAAAGACATCACCTACAAATTCAAGCGGACAATTTTCTTCAGCGAACGGATCTAAGTCTTCGTCAGCCACTTTGGGAGATAGCCATCTTTTTACAGTGACAGAATCCTTTTCACCTGGCCATGAAACAAAAAGTCAAGCAGCGACCACTCGTAAGCAACGTTTCAATGAGTCATCCACCCAGGCATCGATACCATTAGTGACGTCATCTTTTCGCACATCAATTCTTCCGTCAGCCTCCTCGGCTGTTAGGATAAAATCGTCGCCATTGTCAGATATTTTTGGTAGTTCGCATTCAAGTAAACATACCAAATCATCAATTTCACTGAGGTTAACCTCTACAACAGAAACAGTGGCCATGGCCATGAGTTCCTCAAAGTCATGGTTACCTTCAAGGCAAATTCTGCACTCAGTTTTGTCTTCAGAACTTACTCCGTCGTCACCCAGTACTCTTTCTTTACAATACCGAGGCGTTACTTCCGCAATGGAAGGAAAAGTTGGCAAACAAGTGGAGTCATATTTCAATCCGAAATCGAGCTCCCAGAGAAAAATTAAAGAAATGATAAGCCTTACCAGAGAGAACAAATTTCACACGCTTTCATCCTATTTTAACACGCCAGTTAACATCAAAGCTACGTTTATTGAATCAGAATCTCTTGGAAGGCATTTCCCAGAACAGCTATTCCCATCACAAACATTTATAGAGTTCACCCTAACAACGGACATAGAAGAAAAAAAGGGTTCTATGAGTAACTTAAAATCTTCGCTACAAAAGAGTAACACGCTACTTTCAAAGCATATTCCTTTTACATCGATGCCAACGCGAGACCTCACGAAAGTCCTCGTGCATTCTTTAAAAACGCCATTATTGCAACCAGTGCCTATTCCCACGTCTTTAGAAAAAGAGCTCGGGACAAATAAAAAGAAGTTGTTGACAACACCAGCCTTACATTCACTTACCTCGCAGCAATTTAGCTCAGGAAGATACGATGAGGGAACCTTCAATAATAAAGGTTCTCTCACACTTTTGCCGTCATCACAACATGTGCCATTATCAGTATTTCATTTTATTAACCTAGATCATGTAAAAGTTACTACTACCTTGCTGGACTCTTCAATAACTTCATCATCTCAAAACGAAGTTCTTCCATTGACTTCACCGCAAGCTAGTACGTCTACAAGAAATAATATTCCTCGAGGTCTACCTTCTAGCTCAACACTAAGGGAGAAAACTAGTGGAAGTTTTAATGATTCCTTGAGAATGTTCTCACAGCCGTCTCGCTCACCGTCTATACTAGTAAATTCCGTCTCAATAGATGAAAGATCGGTAACTGCAACCTTCAGCTCTGCCCAAATAGTCTCGTCGTTCAAGCATGAGGAATTATCGCTAGAACGTCAACCTCTCGGTGCAACCAAGGAAGCGGACTTTAAAATAAACTTGAGGAGTTACTCTGAAAGTTTATCGAAACAGCCCATGCTCTATTCGAAATCTTCCTATCAAAGTGGTTTGCTCCACCCTCTCTCTCGATTCTCTGAGCTAAGTGATTCAGCCCCTCAAACGAGAACTCAGTTGACTTTTTTGAAATCGTCTCCTTCGGCAGTGTCCTCGAATTCTGGCTCAGCCGCAAGTAGCGACACCGCGGCAAGACGTTGGGAACAGGACTCTGTACCAAGCCCATTGCCATTGTCTAAATCGCCCTCAGTATCACCTTCGCAGCTTAGCCGAACTAAGACACCTAAATCCCAAACCCTCATGGCACACTCATTCAACGACTCGTCGTCAACTAAATTCACAACATCATCATTGTCTCCGGATATGATCGCGGTGATGGAGAAAACAGCAGCGGAAAGCTCAGTAGATTGTCAAGCAGGAGATAGCTCGACAAAATTTCCCATGCTTAAGCCATACAGCTTCTTGATAGGAGTACAAGAAATAAGTATTGCTGAAAACAATTTCAAAGCTTCTAAGGTAGAGCATAAAATACCTCTCTCATCAATACAGTTGAACTTTGTGACCAAGACAGAAATCGCACCAGAAGCCACCGACTCTCTAAAAATATCCTCAAACATACATGAAATACCATCACAGCTTTCTCCACAGATTACCTCACAGCCAGGAGTGAAAATCCCGATACGCGATAAAGATTCTTTAACAATGTATGAGATGCTCTCTCTTCTTCCTTCAAAGACCTCCTCAGTAATAAAAGTTGACTCCACCTCAAGCCTTATGCAACATCTTTCAATAAGGTTTTCACCGTATCCTACCTTCTCAGCAGACGCACAATCCACCAGAGGACAACTACATTCTTCGTCATTGCAGCGCATCAGTTTGTCGAATATTCCTCGGTCTAGCTCATCTGTACAACCAGACACTGTGAAAAGCTTTGTGGGATCTTTGAAAATGTCTCCTTCAAGGAAAACAGACGAATCGCCTATCGCTGTCCAGTTAAAATCCACTCAAATAAGCACAGCAAGCTTCAGTGAGAATCCATCGCGTTTCTCACTGAGTAAACAAGTGTTATCATCAGTGTCTCTACCTCTAGGCTCATCATTAAAACATGAAACCAGAATGAGTGTGAATATAGCGCATTCTATAACAAGCTCGCCAACAGGACGACGCACATTACCACTTTCTCAGCAGTTGAATTTGGAAATGAAAGAACAGGACATGACAAACCGAGAATATTCTGTTGTGTCTTCATCAAGGAAACCAAAGTCAACAGCAGAAATTCCAGGCTCACTAAAACCTTATTCAAGAGCGGATGAAACTCAATCGTTGCCATCTTCGCCACTACTTCTACAGTCCACAGCTAAAAGCACGCCAAGCCCGAGGGATTCGTTTCACATTTTATCTTCAAAGCATGGAGTTTCAACATCTTATGCAGAAAGAAGCTCAAATTTTATTGCTGAGGTGATTAGAGGCATGATGGATTCAACGAAACCAATCTCTGTAAGGGATGGAATGCCCTCATCTCTTGCTTTAGTGATCAGCCCTAGTCCAGAAATGCAATCCATGAGAAGCACGTTGGAATTCTCGACGATTTTCTCTTCAGAGAATCACACGGGAATGATATCCTCTCGTTTTACCCTGGTAGAGCCTATCACAAGCCTTCCAAGTTTGAAAACTCTGTCATTCAAACGAGAAAATGCGATTTCAATAAGTTCTTCATTCAGTGGAACTCAGTTTCAATCCAAAAGGCGAAAGGATTCTTTAATGGGTTTGTCATCTTCCAGACATGAGGCATTCCCATCGGTTCAACAAGTAAGTTCGCCTCTAACAAGTCTTATGGACTACTCAGCGAAAATGTCAAGCCATGAGGTCATAGTATTAAGCTCATCCTACGGTCAAGAGTGGTTAGAAAGATCAAATTTGCCTGTTTCATTTGCCTCTGAGAAGCAAACTCAAAGTTTTAGCTCCAAGAATTTCCCTCCGTCAACTTCATCGTCAGAGAAGAAAATATTTCATTCAACTACTGCTAGTTTGAAATTGAAGTCAACGAAAATTGTACCAGTATCTACATCATCACTGGAACTGGTTTCGGTAACAGCTCATACAACGATTCTAGAAGGAAAATGTAAGTTAAAATACAGTTTTTTTTTCCATTTTGATAAAAAAAGCGGGAATCCTGGGCATTTTGAGTTTAGACTGATTATCTCTATAACTCAATCTTCGTGACTCAACAAACAAACATTCTTAGAGACAGATGAATATATATTGCTCACTCGTTGACTGATAGGCCAAGCTATAAATTAGAGAGAGGCGCCCTCCTAAGAAATTGAATCCAGCAAAGAAAGAGAAAATAACGTGCTTGACTCGTGAGCGAGTTATAAAAAGAGTCGCTGATAATAGTGTTGATATTGGACACGTAGTTGTCAATTCTCGTTTCAGCAACTCGCTGTCCACCGTGCAGTTTTTCGGAGAGGCTACACGAGAAGTACTGTTCAAGCGATTATGGTCAGTATTTGCTCCCTTCGACGTTACATTTTAACGTAATGCGTACGGGTCAATTACGGTAGAAAAAAACAACACACGTATATAACATTCTCTCCTCTCTAGCAGTAATAATAATAATAGCAATGGTAAAGGTCTCTCTAACAGGTCCACGGGGTAACTCCTAACTGTTAAAGTACAATATTTGCAATTAAAAAATAAATTACAATAATCACTATAGTAATTAAGACGAGAGCTTAGGTTCAGTTTACGTACTGTTGGAGTCAGTTATCCTCAACGTCCCACTATATGCATACTCTCGTTTTTCAGCCTTGACGCCTCGTTCAATTTTGGAGTCACAGAAATATATTATAATGAATTTAAATGATAAATTTTGCTGGCGTACAGATTCTAGTGGACAAGGACCCGTTAAAGTTATATATACCTAAGGATCAAATTGTGAATGGAAGGTGTTATACATATTCGGTCTTCACTGGAACCACACAACGGAATGATACTCATCAAAACATACACAATGAAAGAAAACGTCATTAAAATTAAGATGCTGATCAAAATCAACTCACATCGATGACTAGTGGCGGATCCAGGGGGAGAGTCCGGGGGATCTGGAGCCCTCCCATCAAACCTGACGCTTACAACTTTGAGACAGGATCGTATATCACTTTTAACTGGCTGATTTTTTAATGAATCCAAATAAACGGTAAGCGGCCAAGGAATTATAACGTGCAACCGCGACTGGTGGGAGGGGGTGTGGGGGAGAAGTAATTCACCTCAAAGAGACCAACAGTCCTTTCTGAACCAAAGTTTGGACCCCCCCCCCCCAATCAAAAATTCCTGGATGCGCCTCTGGATGACCAAAGGAGGCCTAAAAGATCAAGGCACGTTGTTACTATTACCATTTCGGACAATATCATTAACCTCTCGTTTCCATATCAACAGCTATACTAGTTCGTATTCGCACTGGGGCAATCACGAACGGGAGCGAATCCTATCATCTCACCAAAATAAAAAGAATATTCAAGACGAATAAACCAGTGAAAAAGAGGCTAGAGATAAGATTTACCAATGGATATTGTAACTGCAAACCTGATTTCTTGCTGAGGAAATATTATTTTGTTTTTGGGAATCATGTGTCATGGAACAGAACGACATCGTTCTTGGAAGTTAATCAAGATAGTTTCGTGGTTGAATGGAAGGAGACATTGGAAAAAGAAATAAATATTTTGGAAGAAAGATGTACAAGACTTTCCATAATTCCTACGCCAAGAATTTCACCGACTGTCTCCCAGGTCACCACCCCATCTTTGCATCTCGAAAGAAAATCAGCCACTGGAGGTACGTTGCCCGATTTAGTCTAAATCATAATCGCGTTCGAACTCTTCATGCATTTAGAATCAAGACTGGCTAGGTTTTTTTTTTCTCAAGTAAGGAAAATAGCATAACGTTGTCTTTGCATTAACTTAATTTGTTTAAAAACACAGCGTTATTATCGACTCCTAGTACTGGAATAGAAACACCTACTTCCCGAGTGACAATTGAAGGTAAGTAGAAAAAAATCTTTAAGTCCATTTTTATTGTTTAATAGAGCAATCTTGAACTGAGGTTCGAAAGTAATCTTTAACCTCGCTCTGTGATTGGTCCAGAAAACTCGCACCACTTTGTCAACTAGTCCATTGGAAGAATAAAATCAATCAGGACGTGGTTGCTCAGGCTTTCCCGCTCTTTTGGCTATTTTCTCGGTTTTATTTTGAGTTTTCATTGGCCTTAAAGCTCACTATTAGTGACCGGAGTAAGACCTAGGCATTAAGGCCAACCTCGGCTCTTTATTATTGCTATTAGATAATTTCAAATTGAGCTAACAAGCCAACTGGGAGCAGGCCGTTAAGTTGATTCGTAATAAACCCGTGAAAGTGATAAATCAGATATAGTGAAATATATGAAGTTCATATATTTTGAACTGCGGTATTAGATACGTATGATGCACGATGCGCTGGCCTGCTCCCAGTTGGCTTCTTAGCTCGGTCAATTGGTAGAGCGCTGCACTAGTATCGCAGAGGTCCGTGGTTCGAATCCCGTACAGGCCTGATTTTTTTCAGGTCTGATTTTCGCTATTGCTTAAATAGCGCTATCTACTGCGAGGATCGTGCATCATACGTATCTAATACCGCAGTTCAAAATATATGAACTTCTTATATTTCACTATATCTAATAAAGATAATAATTATAACAATAACAATCCTGATAGTGATTATGGGAACGATAATAATGATGATGATGATGCTGATGATGATGATGATGAGAATGATAGTAGTAGATAGTGGAAAGAAATGGAAGATGAAGTGGACTCAGATTTTCATATATTTTGTCGTCTATTAACATCTTATGCGATTCGTAAGTTCTTTCAAAAACATGATTGCTTGGTTATATTTTAAAGGTGTTGTATTTTTAACTTTTTTTCTAACCATTGGCCCATTTAAATAAAGAGTGCTTGGAAAATTGGAACGGATTACCACACTGTTGCCCTTAAGCGTTCATGATGCCTATTTTGATTCCTATGGGTTCCGATCACACCTTTCCCATGAAACTGTAATCATTCTAGGAGATGATTCTTTTCTGGTAAACACTTTATAATTTGTTTATTTTTTATCTATAAAACTGACTGTACAGCCACAATTCTGTCGACAGCAACAATAGAAGAAACTACGACCCTACCGCCGCCTGTCACACTACCATCAACAGACCAACCGAGTGGTGAGAAAGATCAAAGATTTTCCCAAGGAGGAAAATGTATTTCTAAACTGTAGAAGAAATATCTTGAGTGGATCACTTTCTTTCTCTCCCTTATTAATCTAGCGTCTTTCACGAAGTTATCAGTTTGAAAACGAAATAACTCTTACGATTCGACGATTTTTTTTCTGCCTTTCATTGACCGGGGGCCCCCCACGTTATTGCCCCGCTATGCTGAGAAATTTTTTAGCGTGTTTTACTGCATCTTACATTCTGTGACTGCGTAGTTGAGTCTATTTTCTACTAAGGCACAACGCGATTGAATCGAAAGTTTTGTTGGATACTGAAGGAACTCTTGCGATTATAACACAATTCTAATTTAATTGTTTGACAACAGCTTCTAGTCTCATAGTTTGACTAACTTCTGTTTTCTTGTCGTTTCATTTCATAGCAAAATGCCGAGTATGTCAAACATCAAGGAAACGGAATAAATACTACTGTGACAGCGACTATGGTAAACACCCTCTGATTTTTGTGTTCATATGTTACAACTTACGACAAATTTGCAGCCCAAAATTTTACTTATTCAAGCATACATCATGGAGCTGCTGGAAGAATGGTGCCATTACCAACTTTCAATTAATTAATTTAGGTCTTGTGCTCAACTAGTGCTCATTCCTATTAATAAGTTCAATATGCATGAGGTTCCATTTTCACCTCAACTATGTGTAAAAGTTTTCAGCGGCCTCATCCAACAAAATGACCAAATTCCTTGGTTGAATTTGACAGTTTCTTTATCTTCTTTGAATTCCAGTTATCCGAGCTAAAGTTTTGAAAGAATCGTACAACGAAGTTCTTAAAGAAAGAAGATATCGAGTAAGGATCATGACAGTTTTCAAAAGCAAAAGGAAACTGCAAGGCAGAGATGATATTTTTGTTTTCAATGACTACTGTCACTGTCCTAAACTCCAAATAAGAGAGCAGTATGTAATAATGGGAAAAGAGAGGAACACGGGACTAGAAGACCTTGGCGCAAACTCTCAATTAGTGATTCCTCCAAGACCATTTGTTTGGAAGTGGAGATCAAGAATGACTGCAGGACTCAAATCCATTAGAGACATCTGCGACAGTTAAATAAATTGATCAAGTTGTATTTAAAGCTTAAGACTTCCTTAACATTCAAACAAGCAAAGCCAAAAGGTCAAATATGAAGTTGCAGCAATACATCATTTACTGTGAGTGTCCCGTGCTTTTCGGAGCCATTTGCTTAAGAAACCTATTTTCAATAATTGCCTGTTTATGTCTTGTATGTGTAATAAAAAGTCATCCCTTTGTTTTCATATAGCACCCATGTAGCTCTATACAGCAACGTAGAACCATTGGCTGTCAGCCCAAGTCATTATAGTTTGTAATAAATAATTGAAACCCCATAGAGCTAAGTTACAGAAAAAGAGCAGCAAGGATAACTTCGTTCATTATTTAATAAAAAGTTTTATTATAGTGATTTTTTATCACTATTATTTTCTGTTGTTTTTTTATCACAAATATATGACACAGATCACAACTAAACAGTGTAACAGCATACAGCGCAGGTAGTAGCAGTAAATAAATACAATTTCAATATGTAGAGATCAAAAGTATAATCTGCTAATCACAACATCCAATTACAGGTTAGGATGATATTACAAGGAGCCAATAAGAATTCAGCCTGAAGCGCACGAAAACGCAAGAGAACAAGACGCGGTTAGTATCAGTTTTGCATCTGACTGGCCGCAAGGGTCGCACGAGTTCTCTGAGTTAATCACAGTAAGAAGGAAAGCAAATTCCAGATCTAGTTCTACACTCAAAAACTTCTTTTATGAACTACACTTGCTTCATTTAGATGAGGCATCCAGTTGTTTAAAGTACGTTCAGTGGAGGGATTGATGTAGGGTGTGACGTTTTTGATAAACTCCTTGGTGTCCTCGAGCTCTGAATTATCGATATTCATCGACGTGCCAATCATGAAGATGACGTCCAGGGCAGTGGGGCATTCTGGTGAAGAATGATTTCTAGCAACTAAACGTTGCTTAAAATAAATTTTACGGAACTGAAACGAGCTCTTCAATGAGCGATTAGTTCACACTATCGTGAAAAGAAAGTACCCGAAAGTTAGTGTGAGAAAACAAGACATGCATGCAAATCTCAAAACCACAACATTATCAGTACCGTTGCTGTTTATAGTTTTTGTGTACTTTTTTCCTCGGAACAGAATAGCAGTCCGTAGATATTTCCGAGTCACGCCTATAATAGATTCGAATTCCTCTTCGTATACTTCTGACCTTACAAGAAAGACAACCTTTAACGCAAAAAATGGTATCCGTACACAAAAAATTAAAATTTCAAAGTAGACATCGACACCTTTGTCGTGCAGAATCGGAAAAGAATAATCAAGTTTGAGCTATAGAATGCATGGTCCATTGAGGGCCGATCGATGGCTGGTGTTTGTCTCTAACTAC